GAGGTGGGGTACTTTTATCACGTCGCCGTGTTCAAGACTGATACTGGAGCTGGAGCAGCCCACTACTGTATCTCCTTTTCAAAGAAATGACGCAGACGACCGGCGAACCGCGCGGCGAACTGCGTGTTGTATCGTCCCGTTCTGCACAGCCTACAACTATTTTTCACTGTTATTTAGTCTAGCGTCGCGGTGATTTACCGTTGCTTATTTGGAAATGCGGCCTTCAGGCTTCAGGTCCGGCCGGCACCCTAAAGCTTCTGGGGGCATCTGTGTCGTCTGTACAGTCTCTGTTAAGAATTGAACTAGTCCACACGTCATATGTACTCCCGCACGACGCATAACTCCCACCCAGCCCAACCACGGGCCGTATCGTAAACCGGCGCCTGCTGGCTGCTTTTGGTGCATCCGACGGGAAATCGTGTGTCTAAGAATGCCCGCCCTTTGATAGTCTCATCGCGCCTTGCTTCCTTTTTCTCGTGTAGAGTGGGATAGGCGAATCGGTCGTCCTCGTGTAAAAAAAAAGGGAAATTTTATTTCGACGTTTTGCTGCTAAATAAAGAATCTAAACTGGATTCTGTTGAATTAGCCGTCGCTTTTGTTGGTAAATTTTCGTCGGACATCCGAAGCTGGAAGAGAACTATCAGGTATGTGGCAATGGCTGCCATGATCTAAAAAACAAAAACAAAAAACAAGCCATAGAATATTATCTGAATACTCCTTATTGTAAAAAAAAATCGCATGTATGACGGGCATTCCCCGGGCCAGTACATACGCTTAGATATGTTGGGCGTTTGACGCTGATCATGCCCATAAAAGTCACCTCGGGCGGGTTAGTCGATATCGTGTGTAAAAACTGCTGGTGCTGAAAAATTTGGGAAATGAAACAGTTAAAAATCCAGCCTTGCCTTATCCATGTCTAAATAACTTCCGCTTACCTCGGTGAGCAGGTCGGCCGGCAGTCCCCTCCAGCTTTTCGACGCCAGAGGTTCGTAGAAACCAGTCGACATCTGGAAGTAAAACAGGGTAACATTACGTGGCTGTCGCACCGGGGCCGTTGATGGGCTTCAGGTGGTACTCGCCGTGTCTTTCAGCCGGTGTGCCGTGTCGAAGATGTGGATGAGCGCGAACTGGGCCAGGAAGATGACGCCGGCGCTGCCGAAGCACAGAAGGGTGTAGTTGTTGTAGTAGGACACAGCGCACTGGTAGGTGGCCAACGTCAACATGACGAGGAGGTACAAGACCATCGCCGAGGCCGTGAGAGGCATGCTGCCTAGGTCAAGCGTCAGCTGGCGCAGGTTGATCCACGCGAGGCGAAACTCCTCGAGGCGGGAAGCCGTCATT